CAGACCCACGGGTGAGACTGTGTCCTCCTGCCCTGGCTTGCAGGAGGGAAGCACAGGATGAGCCGGCAGCGCCCGGAATATCTGAAAAGTCCCCTGTGCAGACACCTCCCCCCAGCAGTGAGCTCTCCCCGGCCTGACCACAAGGAGCAGCCGAGCAGGGCAGCAGCGTGTCACCTCACATCTCCTGTTTCGGCTTCTCACCCATGGCCAGTTGTTTGGGCAGGGACCGGGCTGTACGATAACCCACCAATGGCTCTGAGGGAACCACACGTCCTTAATGATGCCTGCGCCAGGGCCTGCTGGGAGCTTTACATCCAGCCCTTTTATCGCTGGCGAGCGAGATGCTGAGCAAAGGGTTTTACTTATTTCTCTATCTGTGGCCGAATCTGCTTTCTTGGACCCTGGTTGGTTTTTCACCAGAAAACCAAATGCCCCAAAATATTTTGGGGTTGGAAAATTTTCAGCAGCCAAAGCCTCATATTCTTCCGTCCCGCTTTTCCGGTGACCAGTTCTTTGGTGAAAAGTTCCAACCTTATTGCTGAACGTGTCAGTGGGAATCCATTTACATTTTCCACCCTGAAAAATTCCATTCCCTGCCCTGCCCCAGAGGGCACCTTGTTCAAGCCCCCCAGGGCCTCAGTGGATTCAGCCAATGCTCTGTTCTGCCCTGTCCCCAGGACTCCCCTGGGAGCTGGGTGATTCACTTTAGCCCAGAGGCCTGCGTGGGAATGTGCAGGCCTGGCTGGAGCACCCGGCATAGCTAACAGTGTGACCCACAGGCTGTGACCGGAGGAGGCAGGCGCAGAGGGCTCCTGGTTAAGCTGATTGCTGCCCTGAGAGGCTGGCTCAGGGACACAGAGGCGCCCAGTAACCCCATACAGAAAGGCTGGTTCAGGAGGACACCGAGCACTGCTCAGGATGGAGGCAGATGAGAAGGGAGCGGATACGGAGGGTCATTGGAACTGGCGGGTACAAGGAGAAAGGCTGGTGAGCAGGGCTGTGTGATACCATCTGGGGTGGGACAGGCGACTGCTTTGTACCAGTGTAGAAAAGGGGACGTCGTGGCAGAGGCGCCTTTGTGCCAGGCTAGACCCAGCCCTGGGTTGCTGCCCCGACCGGCCCCTTGCCCCAGTCACACGCGGGTTAGTGGCTCGGTAGCTCCCATGGGCACGAGGCCTCGGCTTTGTGGACAATAACGCCGGCCAAGCCCCTTTGCCCCCGACTCAGCCTCTGCTCGTTCCTACAAGTAACATGGAGCTGGGCAGCCGGCACAGGCTGCTCCCCCTGCTAGAGGGGCTGGCATTGGAGCTGTGAGACCAGCAGCGCCAGCAGCAGCACCAGGGACCAGAGCTGGTAATGGAGCAATCACAGAAAAACATGGGGCTCAGGGAACGACTTCAGGGGCCAAGTAACCCTGCACCAGGGGTTCTCAGCCTGTCTCCTCTCTGAGACCCCTCAACATGCAGACTGCCGGGGTCACAAAGAACCGGGGCGAGGGGAGGCGGGTGTGAGGGGCCGGGAGGGGCCGCAGGCTCAGGCATAGTTTCTCCTCTATGTGCAGTTAGGGACTGGTGGGGTTTGCCGTGCTCTGCACAACGGTGTCCAGGACGGCAGGGCCGCCTTCGCCCACTCACCTCAGGAGACCCCCCCCAGCTCCCTGGGGTGTGTGTGTGTGTGTGGGGGGAGTTAAAAAAGCTGAAAAACTGCTCAAGGTGCAGATGTGGGGACTAGCTCAGGGGGCAGGCAGGGGTAGCTCAGGAGAGAGGAAGGGGGAACCCAGGGGACACACAGGGGTTCCTGAGCAGCAGGCAGAGTAGCAGCTCAGGATGGCAATGAAGGGGGTAGCTCAGGAGCTCGCTCAGGGACAAGCAGGGTAACTTAGGGGGGCAGACATCAGCTAACTCAGGGGATAGGCAGGGGAAAGCTAGGGGGTAGCTCTGCGGGCAGATCCCTGGGTGTGTGGGGGGAGATAAAAAAGCTGGAAAACAGCTCAAGGTGCAGATGTGGGGACTAGCTCAGAGGGGGGTCACTTGGGGAGTAGGAAGGAGCTAATTCGGGGGGAAAGCAGGAGGTAGCTCTGATGCTGCCCTCGGAGTCGTACAGTGATTGGAGCCCTGCCCCTAGCTACCCACTGCCTGCACCCTGAGCTACCACCTCCTTCCCCAGCCCTCTGCCTGCCCCCATTCTCCACCCGAGGCAGGGGACTCCGTGCGGCTCCAGTGTTCTCCTGGGCCCGGCCACCCGCATCGTCTTCTGTCAGGGCGGGGAGGAGGTTTTGTCCCAGACAGTCTTGCTGGGAAACTCACCTGCCAGAGTGACCAGGCGGGATCTGGGGCAGTTGTGGGAATTACTCCTGCGGGTATGAAATGAAGGACAGCGACCGCCCAGAGATCAGGTCCCAGCACAGCCCTGCCCAGCACTTCATCCGCACTAGTGTGTGTGTGTGTGTGTGTGTGTGTGTGTGGTAATTCCCAGGAAAGGGGAATTAACTCCCTGCTGCCGCTCTGGACCTTCCCTTAGCCTGGACCTGGAATTGCCCCCCGAGCCTCCTGTGCCAGCTGGGAGATTGTGGGATGGGAGGGGCACACGGACAGGGAGCTTGTTAGAAGAGACGCCTGGACACAGGGCCTTGGCTGTCGGCTGGTGACTCGCTGGGGCGGTGACTGGCCGTCACTGCATGGGATGCTCAGGCAGGCTGAGGTGTTGCCCGGGCCCTAGACAGCCCCCAAGAGCCAGTGGCTGCCCTCACTGGGGGGCTGACTCTCCCGGCCGTACAGCCCCAGCTGGGTCAGTGGGTGCCTGCACCAGGGCCCCTTGTTCTAGGGCACCACGCCCTGAGGCTCTTCTGTAGCCCCACTGATCCCAGGGAATGGAGCCCCGGGCCCTGGAGAGAGCTCGTCCCCCCGACTGCCCAGCTGGGCTGAGATCAGAACCTCCATCTGAGACACGCGTCTGCCCCACTGACAGCACCAGGCACCAGCAACGCCCCACTGACAGCTCTGACCCCCTCCCCCCTGGAAAACTGAACAGTTCCTGCTTTTAGCTTCTAAACACGCTGATGGTGAGCCAAATTCTGCCTTCTTTTGGACCTCAGCAATGTCACTGACTGTCATACCGGTTTAAGGGAGGAAAGAATTGAACTAGCTTGGTTCAGTTTGCCCTGATGGGGAGAGTCAGTGACAGAGAGAGGGGATAAAGTTCTCATTTGCATTGCGTATGTAATCCAGAGGCACTGAGACCATGAGAAAGGGAGAGTGAAGGCTGCTCTACTGTCTTAGCTGAGAGTCAGTTGGCTTTTAGCTTAGGTTCAATCCCACCTGCCACTGTTTAAGAACCATTGGTTTTACACATAGATCATATCTATATTTTTAGCAAAGAGAAGCAATACTGCTTTGCAGTAAGTGGGATTGTTAAAAGTTATGCAGGTCCCAGGATATTAGAGAGTGAAGGTGGGTGAGTAAATATCTTTTATCGGACCAACTTCTGTTGATGAGACACAGGAAGTTGGTCCAATAAAAGCTATCACCTCATCCACCCTGTGTCTCTTTCTGTAGGCTGCTCCTTCATATACTAGTATGGCACAATGAGATGAATATAAATTAACCAGAGCTAAACAATGGTACAGTAGCATGGGAAAATTAAGACAATAGTCAGGCTCAGGTTATGACAGGGTCTGAGATGTCTCTGGTTCTTATGAGGCTTTTGCAGAGTCCTGGTGCAGCCTGAGCAAACTGGGGCGAGAGTGACTCTGCGATGGGCAAAGGCAGGAGCCTCCCCAACGGCCTCCAACACCCAGGGTATGTCTACACTACCCCGCTAGTTCGAACTAGGAGGGTAATGTAGGCATACCGCACTTGCAAATGAAGCCCGAGATTTGAATTTCCCGGGCTTCAATTACATAAGCCGGGCGCCGCCATTTTTAAAACCCCGCTGGTTCGAACCCCGTGCAGCGCGGCTACACGGGGCTTGAACTAGGTAGTTCGGACTAGGCTTCCTATTCCGAACTGCCGGTACACCTCGTGGAACGCTATCGGGGTAGTGTAGAACTAGCGGGGTAGTGTAGACATACCCTTAGGCCTCACTTTGGGGGAACGTGCCCCCTGCAGCATGATCCCCCCTTAGAGCGAGGCCTCCAGGAGCGCCTGTTACACCCCAACTGCTCTGTGTCTAGTGCCAGCCCTGTAGGGCTGCACACTGCTTTGCAGACGTCACCACGGCTCTTTCTGCATTGCAGGGCCGGCCATGTCCCCGGCCATCTGGGCCACTCGCTGCACCCTGGTCCTGCTGCTCCTGGTGTCCGGGCCCGTCATCACCTTCGTGCTGGAGAAACGGGCCCTGCCCCAGCCTGCGGGGCTGGAGGAGACTCGTGGAGGGAGCGTCGGCATTTCTGGGGGGAGGGGGCAATGGGGCTTTGAGCAGGAGGAATGGGAACGAGGGGGCAGGAGGAGATACCCATTGCAGGGAGAGGGCAGGGGGAGATACCCAGTCCCCATTGACCGGCTGTGAGCAGGAGGGAGGGGAAAGAGGTGGCAGGGGAGATACCAGCTCTGAGCAGGGCGCTGGGGAGACGCCGTTGGTCAGTGCAGCACAATAGTCCCCTGCGGTAACTTCCTTTGCCCAGGTAACTCCACCGGCCTCCTTCACTCCCTCCCGCCCCCTGACAAGTGCTGCCAACGTCCCCTGGGCTGAAAACCAGACCCTAAAGCCCTGCCCCTTCTCTGCCATTTGCCAGGCCCTGCCCCCCTTCTCTTCTCCTGCTTCCCTGCACCCACCATCCCTCCCTGAATCCCCACCCTGCTCATTGCTGGATCATCTCCTGCTCCCGGCTCCCTGCTCCGCTGGGCTCCCTCTGCTCCGGGGCTGGGACAGGAGCTGCTGCAGCTGCGCATGGAGCCTGCCTGCAGGGAGGAGGCAGCTCCAGCTAAGCAGGGATTGGCTCCACTCTTCCCTCTTCCCTAGTAACTGCACCTGCCAGATCTGACCAGTTCTAAATCCCCTGAGAGACTGAGGAGCTCAAGGGTGGGACTGTGCTCTGTGCCCGCTGCCTGGTGCTCCTAAGTCCCTCAGGCGCTCTTGAAAGTTCTCCCTGAGTGAACTCTTCTGGCTGGGGACTGTCTCTCCCTGCCAGTTTGTCTGCACAAGGACACTGACCAGCGGAACGACACTGTAAATAATCCCTGCAGTTATCTGGGGATAACTCCCCTTGGGGACACCCTCATTCCAGAACTGGAGAGTCTGGGTCAGTGTTCATTCACACCATTTTCACCAGGAGGTAAAAGTGCACAGAGCCTGTCATGCACTGGAGTGAGAGTGTCCCCATAGGGAGTTATCCTGGGGGAGGTGTACTGGGTTAGCTAAACCAGGACAGTTCAGTTGGTTGGTTTCCCAATCAGACACTCAGAGCAAAGGGGCCCGACTTGGACTGCTGTGACATGTATAATCAGAGTGAATTGCAGAGGAGGGGGGCTGTGGACAGGAGCTAGGACCACGGTCTCTGTTTCTCATTTACTATTATAATAAATTAGAATTCAGTCTCTACGGCGCCAGAGGACCCCTTGTTGTTTTTAAAGTTACAGACTAACACAAGCACCCTCTGAGATTTAGTATCAGGCGGGTTTATTGCTCTAAGCCAACAGCAGCACAGCACAGGGGAAAGGCTCCACACGACACCTGTCCCTGGGAAGCCCCTCGTGCAGCCTTGTTACACTCCCCTGACACAAAAAGTGACTTCCCTGGTTACACCCCTAATGCCATCTTTTTGTAACCTGTGTGTAGGTACAAGCTGCTGTGTGTGTCGTCTGAGACTAGATTTCATCTATCGGCTTCCCATCTTGTTCCTCTGCTACCATAGGGTGTCCCTTATCTCTCTGTTCTGAACACATGGCACCAAGGGGTATGAGAGTAGCTCCTAGGTCTGCACCAGGCTGGAACAATCAGACGTCCTGTCCTCTTCCTTTGTCATGCCTGTACCGACCTGTCAGTCACCCCCTAGCTGTTGCTGTGATAAAACACTCAACTGTCCTGGTCCTGACAGTTTTCCTTTCTATACGCCAGTGTTTGCTTCAGCAAACACAAGGGCTACGTCTACACTGGCATGATTTTCCGGAAATGCTTTTAATGGAAAAGTTTTCTGTTAAAAGCATTTTCAGAAAAGCGCGTCTAGATTGGCACAGACGCTTTTCCGCAAAAGCACTTTTTGCAGAAAAGCGTTCATGGCCAATCTAGGCGCGATTTTCCGCAAAAAAGGCCCGATCGCCATTTTCAATCAGGCTGCAGACAAAGGCCGTAGGCTTTAGGCTTTGCAATATGGCTACAGCCAACAGACATGGGCACAGTCGTACAGTTCCCAGGGTGCAAGGGGGCTGGGATCCTGTGGGATGAGGACCCAGGTGGGGGATGGGCGATGGTCCCAGGTGGTACTGGGGGATTTAACTACCCAGCCACCGTTTGGGAAAATGTGAGGTAGGGTGAACTGCTCTGCACTTCTGTCCCCAGTGTGCTTTCGGATCTGATGCACAGGAATTGGAGCATCTCTTCCTTTGGGTGTTCCTACATTCAACCCCTCCAGGGGAGATTCCGCTCCGGCTGGCGAACGGCTCGAGTCGCTGCGCCGGGAGAGTGGAAGTGCTACACGGACAGCAGTGGGGGACCGTCTGTGATGACGACTGGGACTTAACCGACGCTGGAGTCATGTGCAGGGAGCTGGCTGTCGTATTTGGAGATAAGGAAATAGGAAGGAAGATCAGGTACGATGGGCTGGACCTAGAGCAGTGGTTCTCAACTCATTTCATTCTACGGACTACCAGGCCAATCAAAATATTTTCATGGACTACTTCCTTTTTGAGACAGGATAAAAAAGAGCAGTCCACTGGAGAGATTCTCTTCTCTGCACGGCTGGATCCAGGCTCCTGGGGGCACAGAGGGATGGTGAGTTAGTGGGATCCATGTTACCCTGGGGGGCAGCAAGAGGCACAGAAGTGGGGGGGGCACCTCACCTACGGCACCCCCCCTTGGGTGGCTGTAATAGTCCTCAGCCAGGATCAGCCCCAGGACAAGCAGGACCACGACGGCCAGTTCCAGACGGGCGATGTTCCCGTGGGTGAAATCCGGGTGCTCGGGGGCTGTTCCTGCTGGGGGATGGGAAGAGTCACTTGGCGGCCGGCATGGGGACAGCAACAGCTGGCGCTGCCTTGGGAGCAGAGACAACAACCCCCGTCCGGCAGGTCCGGCCCAGACCCGCTCTGGGGTGCCGCGTCTCTGGGGCTTCCCTGGGCCAGACCCACTGGGGAGAGCATCTCGCTGCCAAGTCCTGGCTTGGAGTGCCCTGAGTGCCCACACTGGGCACATCACAGCACTCGGCCATCAGCCCGGCTGCACTTGCCACAGGCTGCCATCTGGGGAGAGTGGGCAAGTGGGTGGGTGCAGGAGAGCTTCCACCCGCAGAAGCCCGCAGAGCCAGCCCAGTCCTCCCCATCGGGGGCTCGT